CTTGTTGCCACGATTATGCATCATAACAACCGTCAGAAAATATAAAAGCAGGAGCAAAAATTATTCCAGCTGCACGGCATCCTCAACCAGATGGAACAATTATCTAAACATGCAACGCCTCAACCAAAAAAAAAAAAAAAAAAAAAAAAAAAAAAAGACGATGAACAAAAGTCTACACAATGCAAACAGTATGTTCAGATTTATTTGTAATGTTCTGTTCTTGTCTGACTAGAGCACCTTGTTTCACGTGTCTTCTTTACGTGACTTGGAGCAAATTGGACATCTTGTAACTTGGAATAAAGATAATAATAATAAAAAATAATCTTGATTTAATATTTTCCAGTCTTAAATTGTGTTTTAAGAGTGCACAGTTAATAGTTGGATGGGGAGAATGTCCCACCTGAGCAGTAAATCTGTCCAGATGGACAGCCATGTCTTGGCAGGTTCCATTTTCGGATGATGGATTGAACATTTCTCTGTGAGATGTTCAAATTATGGCCGAATCCTGACCCAAGGCTTATTAAGTCGTACATCTATAATAAGGATAAATTGCACTGAAGTTTACTTATTAGTAGAGTGCTGAAGGCAGTTTGCTAATTTTCACTTAGGGAGAGAGCAGAGTAAAAGCACCTGAGTGCAAATGCATGCCGCACTTTTCCGATTTTATTTTGAAAGACATTTTGAAAATCGTTTTCCAATGTTTACAGAAAATCCTCAGTAGATGTTAAAGTTTTGACAAAATGCTGAAAACTACGTGGCACACTATGTACACTATCCGTGTTCTGACTTTCTTGACCACAGACAGTTGCCTTGTTCTTCAGTGACTAACACAATTTCTCCCTAAAATCAAATCTAATCTGATAAGCTGGGATGGTATAATGTGGCAGCTTAAGATAGGACGAGACCATTCCTCCACTAATCAGCATTCTTATCAATATTCCCCTGTGTTTATGTGTCAACAAGGACTGCCACATGAAACATCTCATCTCGTTAAAGGGAGAGCGGAGAGGAGGGAAGAAGAAGAAGAGAAGGCTGGGTTGTTAAATCAGGCAGGACTTGTTTAGCACAGACCGTTATTTGTCTGTAATCAGAGCTTTCCTGTCAGTCATAATGACTGAGACGAATAAAAGAGATGAGGGAGAGAGAAGGAAGACATCTGGGCAGCAATCAAGCCAACCGCAAACAGGAAATGTAATGTCTGCGGATGCCCTGGCTGTTGTGTTTGGCCTCGCTGATGTTGCTGTTAAATCAAAAGCAGCATGAACGGCTCGTACAGCAGCCTTCAAGTGTCAGCCCTTCCCAAAATAGCCTGTTTACATTAGCCGCCTTTTCCCACTGCCTCAGCTGGCGCTGGTGTTTGGAATGGATCTGACTTGTTTGTCTTTATGCTCCTCGCGTTTCCCTTAAGCCGAGATTTCGCCGGCCGTGAAGCCGGACGGGAGTCATCTGTTTGTGCGGTTCTGCGGGGTTTGTGTCGTCTCTGTGGTTAATGGCTGCCGGGTATCAATCGCATCCGGATCCTCCCATCGCTCTTCAGATAACGATGGCTGACCACTTGACCCCGTGCATGCCCCGCTCACTCCTGAATCCACGGCCCGTTGATAGGCCCCCGTAACGCCGCCGAGGCTGCAGCACTTTCGGCTCCTACCTCACCTGGCCCGAGGATCACAGAAGGAAACGGGCCAGAGTTCATTAGGAGCAGATTAAGAACAAGAGCAGAACACTTCGGCTGTGATTTATTTTCACTGTGTGGTTGCTGGACTAACAACACGCCAAACAGAGGTTTCATCCAGGAATAATGATGTCATGGCTTCAGAGTAAATATCAAAATGGGAAGCATCCGTGTCCTCAGCAGGGTTCAATTTGGACTTGAAGTTGAGAACACAGCAGACTTGTGTTGCTTTAGGAGTTACGGCGAAAGACTACTGAGCGAACTAAACATTTGTTGCGGAATATTTTTGGTAGCTAGCTGCAGATCTTCCAAAAAATGTGAAATATCTGTGTTATCAAACCCATATGGCAAGGATTTCCCGTTTCAGTGCTGTATATTATTATTAAGTACTTTTCTGGGAGGCTAACATCTGGCAAGTTTAGTTTTAGTGTCCCTCTGTCTGTGAAACTGTCGGATATATATGGCTGAGAAGGTTTCTATTACAAACATAATACGGCTGAAACGACTCATTTCCTTAGATTTTGCTCCCAATGAGTTAGGCATGCTGGGAATCTTTGAAAGTTGTTTTGATCAATACTTTCTCAGGCTTTCTAAAGTTCTTTCAAAGCCTTTTTTTTTTCTTTTTCGTTTTAGACTTTGGCTTTTTATTCATTTTCTGTTGAAGCCTTGTGATGTTATAATCCTGAGGTGGTTGAGTCTGTTTTCCCGTTTTCACAGCAGCGGGGTTGACTCCTTGTGAGATGTCACACCTGCAGGTTATTCACCGCTCAGCAGCATGGTGTCTGTAGGATCAGTGTTCCTCTCTTGCAGTTGCCTGATTGTTTCGTCTCGGTTGTGACAATCAGCCCATCTTGTTGTGAAACCACATTCTCCTCGTATTCAGAAGTCGGATATTCTGAGCTCATTATTAGAAATGCCATGAAAATAAAAAATAAAAACCCACTGAAGCAGGAATAGTGATCAGTATTGTTGGCAATGTATGACAGTAGCTATGTTTCCACTACAAATGTGCATGAGACCTTGTTGAAATATCTTTTTCCATTAAAAAAAGAAATGCAATTAAAATCACATGTGAATACGCTCGTTTATGTGAGTAAGTCACCAAAAAACATGCCGCTACATCATCCTCACATCACTTCCTGTCATCTTCTTAGCCATTTCCATCAGTAGTAACATCCTGTTGTTGGTTGAATCATTCGAGACGAAAGAAGTGTTTCCATTTCAGTTTTGTCAAACACACTAATTTTGATATGAATGTAAAACAACCTCGTCTCAGTGCCAAAACTTTACATAGAGAAACAAGAGCTTTTACGAAGTTGCCGCAGATTTATCTTCGAAATGTCAAATTGCGCAATTTTAAGGTCAATGGGAACGCAGATACTCTGAGTCTTGATAAAGAAGTGGCACATTATCAATCCACACTGGGCTGTTGTTAGGAACTATTGTTACCAGTTACAACAAGTAACAAATCCACACCAGAACATGCTCCATCCTTTTTTTTTTTTTTAAGCACCAATACTTGAATTGACTCGCTGTAATTTAAGAAACCATCCCATCTGTGAAAGCTGATGTCCAACAAAGCAAGAGGAACTTTATGCACTACTTATCTTCCATACATGGCTGTCAGCCCTTGTCCTGTCACATCATAATCAACCTTCATCAGTATCAGAATGACTTTATTATTGGTTCCGTTGGGAAATTTCCCTTGCAGTCGGGGAAAAATCATGAACGCAATCACTCTACAACATTGGCAAGAGCACAAAATAAAGCACTGGGAAAATTTCTGCACAAATATCTCTTTTCAAAAAGTGATCTGACTAAAATGACAACGCAGTCTCACTCAGTCACATTTTAGATGTAATCTGAATAATGGCCTGAGTAAGAGAAGAGTTTTTCCATCTGTTTGGTCCTTGATTTAGGCTGTCTGAATCTCTTTCCAGATGGCAGGAGTTCAAATGTGCCATGAAATGGGTGATTGAGTGAAATGGTTATTCGCCTTCTGTGTGACTCCGTTTATTAAAGATGTTTCTGTTAAAACAGGTACTTTGGTTCAGAAAATTTTGCCTTTTCACTATTTGTTTCATCCTGCTTTTGCCTCCTGCTCTTATGTTGCCAAACCAGGTGATGAAAGTAAATGCAAGGACAGATTCCATCACAGAATTGTAGACGATAATCATGAACTTTTTACACACACCAACTTGAATGAATTTGTGGAAGAAATGCAATCTCTGATGTACTTTTTTGCATTTTTATTGAACGTCAGCTTCTGGTGAGTGACTCATATCTCTGAACATGCTAAAGCAAACTAAAGTCAGCGGCCTGGACATCTTTCTGAATGTTCCCTTTGGTTTATACTTTGTTCTTTGTGTATTTGATCTACATCAATTTTTAAAACATGACAAGTAACATGACAAGTGACCCATTGTCTTAGACATATTGTCTAAGAAAGTCGACGAATGACGCACAAAAGACCATTTTAGGCCAAAAAAAGCATATGAATAGCATCAAGTATTGCATTTAGCTGTTGTATATTTTAAAAGATTTAACTAAAGAAACGAGGGAATAAAGTAGTTCACTGCGGAGTTATTTCAGATGTCATTTGACAGATAATCAATGGAGACGGGACAGGTGACCCGACAGACTGGCACTCCTTTCTGCCTCTGCCAACGTAACATAACGAACACAGAAATAGCTTGACTGAGAAAATCAGCAGTGAACTCGAGAACACGGCGTCTTGTGTAGCTTCACACAAAAGGCTGTGCTGATTTCCACTAACGTGCCATTATATCTCGCCGACTGAAGCATTTTCAGCTTTGCTTATTTTGAGCTGCTAAAACCAACAGGTGGAGGTGATGAAAGGGACTCTGTCTAATAAGCTGTTAGGATTTTACACCTGGATGGTTCCTAAGCTTTTCTACAAACGCACTAAAATACAGAATTAAAGCGAGATATGCAAACGCAGGAGCCCCGCATAGGAGTGCACTGGTTGCTCTGCAAAAGTTCAAGTTGGCTAATTATGTGGTTGGAAACTTTGAAAAATCTTATTTATTATTGATCAAAACTACTTGACTCGAGACAGGCTAGATCTTTGAAGGCAAACTATGTAGAAATCGGCCATTTTTAAAGAACTTTATTTATTTAGCATCTTGTCATATTTTAGCTTATAATTTACACCCAAGACAGAGTGATGGCACCCAAAGGGAGGCAAAATTTACACTTTTTGTGGTGTAAAAAATAAGATAATGACTTTCTTCACCTTCAATGTGTCTCATCAGGATTTTATATGTCTGCTAGAGATCTGACAATTAAAGTGAATTTTATTTTGCAGCGTCACACAGTGAGAGTGAGCTTGACTCAAAATCCATAATGCAACCTGAAGACAACCAGACTGTGGAAAGCTTCAGGCAAGAACGTAGCTACATCCGACAGAAAATCTGTGAGTTTACCTGAAGAGGGTTACATGGGATGTCCTCGCAGTGTGAGGGATTTGGGTAAGTAGGTTGAGCAAATATCTCAACCTGAGATGTGGGATGCTGATAGACTTCCATCAAAGAAGACATTTTAACAAAACAAACCAATTTCTTATGAAAAAAAGGCACAAAAACCTGTTTTGGCAAGTGTTGAAACTCTTAAACTAAAGTGTTACTTCATCATAATAATGATGATGTGAAAGCTCCTCAAAATAATGGGATTGTTAGTTCCTCCCACTTGAATGTCTCTTTAAAATCTTTCTGGATTTGACCCCGCAAACAAAGTTATAGGGAGGGGAAGTTTGTGACCATAAATGTACAAAAATCATCAACTGCTTCTAAAACCTCCATCCATACAGTGTCTGTACCCTCTTCCTTGTAGGGTCATCACTGTGAAAACGTTCAAAACGCATCACGCATTTCCTCTCCACTTGTATTACGTTGCTTTTTGTGAACATGAAAAACATTTAGAGTTGCAAAGCCTTCGCCGAAAATAACTCCCTAAGCCCAGAGCGTGAATTGCAAACCCTTGTCTAAGCTCTTGGCTTTTCTACTTTAACTCATCTTTATCATCCTGAAACTCTTCAGTGTAATCCTCACACAGTGACCATTTATGCACAAACAAAGACTTAGCAGCTGCCTGCTCTGAGCAATTTTTAACCCTGCAGGGCGACCAGCTTGGGTAAAGTGGACATTTCAGGCTGGGGCCGTTTTGGAAGAGGCAGTGGCCTCATTAGAACAATATAGACGAATGAGAAAACTAGTGTTTTGGATAAATTAATCTGGTCTAAAATGGAGTTGTGAGCATGATTAGGACTCTTCAAATTTTGAGTGAGGGGCATTAAAGAGAATTAAAAAAGGATCCAGAAAGTTAAACATCAGCGACTAAGATAACATTTACTAGAGAAGATTTCCCATTTCCCATCACAGTATCATCATCAGTGTGTTCATCATTAACGCATCTTAATCTTTAACTTGTTTAAACAAGTGTATCCTAACCCCCTTGTCACCTCTCCCCCTGGCCTCTCTTGTTCTCTACGGAGGAAAAAGAACACTGTTTTTTTTCTTTTTGGCTTACAGCGAAACGACTTGACAAGTCTTGGACGAAGCGCCCCAAAAATCTGCAGCAGATACAGTCGTTGGCGAGTTCAGCCAAGACTGTTAGGTTTTTGACGTTCGTGACTCTCAGCGGCCATTTATCTATTTGCCTTGAGCCAAGACAAAAGAAAAAATTATGATAATAATAATAATAATAATAATAATAATAATAATAATAATAATAATAGCCTCTGCATATTTATGTCCCTGTCAGGATGATCGCTTCCACCAGTGCTAACGTTCATCCAATATACGGAGCAAACCCCGTGCACTTTGGATTAAAAATAATGCCCAAAATGGTGACACTCTAATCACCCTCAGCTGCACTCTGTAACTCTAAATCAAAGGTCAAAAAGTCAGTAAACACCAGGTCTGCCTAGCATCTGGCCGCTGACAGTCGGCATGTTTTAGCTGTTGGATTTCTCGTCCGAAGCCGTGTTTTCTCATCGTTTAGTCAGAAACACATGAAACTTTCCATCGTGAACCTTCGCCCCTTCACCCCCCCACCGATGGACCCAAACAGCTGCGCTCTTCAGGCAGCAGCGATATTAAAGTGCAAACTGGCTATTTATAGGGGCATAAAGATAAATTAACATGATGATCTCACTCTTTGAAAATGCACCGGCTTCTATAGAGAGTCTGAAGGGTGGAAAGAAGCTTCCTAATGGGACTGAGTGTGGACAATAGCCCCGCTTGTCCTCACATCTTCCGTGTTGTTTCCCCTGTTCAATAAAGCCTGTAGTATACAGCTCTGAAAAATACATCAACAGTCCATCTGTCACTTGCTATAATCCTCTTGTAAGTGACTGTGCTGGTATTTTGTTCTTCGATGTGCGCGGTGCTACTTCCACATTGCTGCTGCAGATTACTCTCACTTGTTCCCGAGGCAAATCTCTGTAAAATTGCACACTGCCGCTGAGGTGTTTCTGGACTTCGAAGCTGCTGTTTGGTACCACTCCTGACAAATGGAAACTCACGTACAACTCCGTCCCTGTTGAAGTCGTGTCCCAATCGGTTGGGGAGCTTCGGCCGCAGCTGTGGCATCACATCAGAGTCACAAAACCAGAGGTATCTCATTGGGCTGCGTCAGATCAGGTGTCCAACTGTGACTAACTGATTGGCCGATGAGTTATCGGGTATCCCAGAAGTTCTGTGGACATCTCGCTCTGTGGCAACCAGACTGTGTTTTGTCACTGCTGTGGATGCAGCCATGACACAGCAGTCGCCAACCGTGGATGTTTCCACTGCAAGTGAAACCTAAAAATATAAATACGCCTGGGCAATTCCATCCACTAATTTCCATTGTAGTTGTTTGGGGTATAATGTGAAAGACCAAAAGAAGATTGCTAAGAGCAAGGATAAGGGCACAAGATTTTCAATTTATTTTTTTATAAATTTAATCTGAAAATCTGCGGCGTACATTTGTAATCCCCTCTCAGTCCAGGTCAATACTTTCTAAAGCCAGCTTTTGTTGTGGTTGCAGCTACAAATCTTTAGGGCTTTAGACATCTAGTGTCCTTTTATTTTCTTGCAAACTCAATCAGATTAAGATGGAGAGCATCAATGAACCGAACAGTAAATTTTCAAATCTGCCCTCAGATGTTCAACTTGATTCATTTCACTACTTTGACTGGGCCATGTCATCGAAGCAATTCTTTTGCAGTTCTGGTCACAGGAGTCTCTAGTCTGTTGCAGCCTTGAACAGGTTTTCTTCCATTATTGGCATTTATTAACGCTGCGCTCCAGTTGGGAAATTCCGACTTCCCAGTCAAAAAAGAATCAACCGAATCTCCCTCCGAAGTCGGGTTTCCCACTGGGAAACTGGGAGCAACTCCGACTAGAGTCGACTTCGCATTTCAGCTTTTGCCGTTCCTTCCATCAACAACGGCGAGATGATGTGGTGGAAACGTGTTTATTTTACAAGACACACATGTAAGAGTGCGTCTGTAATCAGAGTTGCATGTAGCGCCTGCAACAATAAATGGAGCAAATTAAAGGGATGTTTGTGTATGAAAAGTAAAGCCCAAAATGATGTTTGTAAGAAATACAGCAAACAATGTTTATGGGCGTCACCATGTTGGAATCCTGACATCTTAATTAGAAAGCTGTTACCTCGGGTCTGACGTCAAACCCATTTTGGCTTCCAGCTTCCAAGGCAACTGGAATGCAGCATTAGCTCCATCCATTTTCTTCCCCACGCTTGCTGTGTTCCTGAATACACTTTTATGTGTTTTTACTTGGTAAAAGAGTCCTTCAGACCTTTTCCTTTCACTTTGTAATGGTCTGCTGCTGTCTGTCAGGTGACACCCCAATGAAATTCACTGAAGTTTGGGGTCCAACTGCTTTGGCAAGGCGCCGCACCGCGTATCCCTGTGGTCAGGGAACGTCACGCTGGCTAGCAACCTGTTCGATTGTGCTGTGGATCCAACAACTACCCCGTTACTTCGGGGTAGTTGTTGGATCTACAACAGAATCCAACAGGTCTCCCACACCGGAAAAACACACAAATATAAATACCCTCAGATAATTATAGTGTATGGAGCGTGAAGCATGTGTTGAGCTTATTGTCTCACAAAGATTTATGGGCTGTCTGCAGACAACAGGATGTTGGAAGAAGAAAAAAAGCATAATTTTAGGAAGCATAGAGCAGCTCTTAAAAATGTCTGTTTTCCTCCCAATTACACAAAATCCCACCCCTCCCTTCGCCTCTCTTCTCTTCTCTCTCCCCTCTCTCTCTGTGGGAGCCCCGACGCGTTTTTGTTGCCACCGTTAGGGGGCGGCATTGTTTGCATAAATGCAAGGCAACAGAAAGAATCGCACACACAAAGGGGGCACAGACATGGACATGATCAATTATGTGTCAAGCATTTCTTCCTCAGTGAATGAATGGCTCGGTGACTACAGGGCTACCGGCCGCCTATTGTCTATTGACGCTGGGAGACGAAGTTCTCATGCAGTTCATTATCCCCCAAAGAGGACAAACAGCGAGAGATCCAAAGAGGCCATTAATCATCATTCCCTTCAGAGAGGAGAAAAGAGGCAATCAAACTAACAGGTACTGTAACCCCTGCACCGCAAACTGTAAAGTTGCGTTTTATGAGCCAAAAAATAAAAAATCATAAACACATTTGCCTTTTTTTATGATGATGATGATCAAGGTCAGCACAATCATCGCCATTAAACAATATAATTGAGACGTTTATGACATAAGTAGCTCGTTTATGATCAATTCCCCTCTCTCATTTAAATGGGGCCAAAGTTTTTTTTTTTTTTTTTTACTCCAGTTGCCTATCCCAACTCGCTTCTGCTTTCAGTTTGACGAATAACTCCAAAGTCCGTTTCGGTTCGGGTCGATGGTTCCGGCCGAAGCGGCTGGTTGGGGGGTGAAAAGCGGGGGGTCAACCTAATAGTACCCTCCCACACCACCGCCACCATTCCGTAACCCATTTTCCTCCTCCTCCAGTCCACCCCTCCACGTCCCCATAAATGCCTTCGCTTCCTGCTTCCAACTTCGGACAGAGCGCCGTGATTGGCCACAACGCACGCTGTGGGCAGTCCCCGCCCGCCTTTGCCTGCCTGCGCCTCTCCGCTCGGCTCGAGTTACCAAGCCGAGCTCGGGCTGTTGCATATACACACACACACACACACACTCCACACACACATACATACATACAAGCGTTCACCGGAGTGTTTTCAAGGAGATGATTTTTTTTTTTTTTCTGGGGGGGTAAAACAGAAAAGGAAAGAAAAAAATGAACGCGGAAAGATGGGAATGTCGCCGAGCTGATTGAGATCTACTCCTCGACCCCCAACAGACGCAGGTCGGATCCATCCTCCTCTACACTTTCGGTCCAAAGAGCGGCGTGCATTTTTACGCACTGGGCATATCGCTCCGGGAAGGCGGACTGAGACTGCTCACAGCG